CAGCACCCTGCCTCCTGCCACAGCACCCTGCCTCCTGCCACAACACCCTGCCTCCTGCCACAACACCCTGCCTCCGGCCACAAAACCCTGCCTCCTGCCACAGCACCCTGCCTCCTTCCACAGCACCCAGCCTCCTGCCACAGCACCCTGCCTCCTGCCACAGCACCCAGCTCCCTGCCACAGCACCCAGCTCCCTGCCACAGCACCCAGCTCCCTGCCACAGCACCCAGCCTCCTGCCACAGCACCCAGCCTCCTGCCACAGCACCCAGCCTCAGAGCCTAGTTTTGTCACTCTGCATAACATTATTGCACCGTGCTGCATCCATGACATTTAATACTGTACACAGCATTCCGGCAGTTGGTACACTGTATAGTATTATCCTTACACTAGTAAAGCATCATGACACTCGGTACATAATTCGAGCACTTTAATCTGCATCATAACACTTGGTACAGCATCTTGGCACTTAGTACAGCATCTTGGCACTTAGTACCGCATCCTGTCATCCTTTACTCACAATAGCGTATCCTTGCTGTGCACCTGCTATTGGTGACCAATGCAGTTGCTAGCGAGCATTGGTTGTTGAAGTTCTTTGGCTTCAAATTTTGTCAAACTTTTCTTTGCTTGTTGTGAATTGCCTGTGATGCGAGATGGCGAGACGTCAGCTATGCCAATTCAATCGAGAAAATTATCAGGGGCTCTGAGATCGACAGTCTCAGCGACATGTGCGTTGTTCGCTGAACGAGGAGACGAAGCCGCAAACATGCAAGGCGCGACTGCTAATCAGTTATCGGGCACATTATATTGGCACTGCTCCTCATTAATGTCTATATCCATCGCTAATTTTATGTACTTTGCAATCAGGCATTACAAAATTTTCAAGTTCATGACCATAATTGCGTTTTAGTTGGAATTGCTTTATCACGTTCTTCAGTAACTTACTGAATTTGCATACTAATGAATTTTCAAGGTGTACGCGTTCAATTATCCAGAAATGAGCCAAATGTGGCAGTTAAGTGTTGCGTCGTACGCTGTAGAGGGCTTGTGTTGCGAAGCACACATGACGCATACTTGCATATACATACATATACATACATTGAGCATATGTATGTAAGTAATGCTATAAGACGGGTGTGTCAGGAATGTCGTCACATGCGTCACGTGTCTGCGGTGGGATGACCCGCAACAGCGCCTCATAACTTGGCTCCACCCACACCGCAGCTCGCAGCCACATGCGCTCATATCGTTGCCAGATGCGTCTTTTTCAGGAAAAATTTGACGCTTTTTTCCATTACCTTGGCCGGCGGAAATCTATCCAGACCTTTAACCTGTTGTGATTTCCTACCTGTAACAAAACTCGAAAAATCGAATTTTTGCACCGAGAATTACAAATTTACCAATAAAAATTTAATTTTGTTCGATTTTGGCTTTTTGAGCAAATTCGACCGATGCTGCAATATGGCGGCGCCCACTGGCCACTGATACAGATCAGGTGACCTATGACACTATTTCCCTGCTGATCAATATGTAGCAACCGTCAACAGAATATTACAAGTGCAGATATCGTAGTATTTTTCCTACCTAAATTGATTTGCGACTCAACCAAAAAGGATTATTGCATCTGTTATTCGAAATTTATTAGTCTTGGAACTAAATCTCTTTATATGGATTTCAGTATTATTTATTATTTGCTTGCATTTTCCAATTCTGGGATAAAGCTCATGAACAACTCTGCACTGCTGCGGGAAAAAATTCCCGCTAAATTTTATGAAACTAGATATCTTCTGTGGAATAGAAAATAAAGCTTCAACGTTGAAAGAGATGCACATGACAGCGCGTTCGCACCCAAATCATAATGCGTAGTACTAGATAAACACGATCAATACTGAAATGATTGAGTATTACAGCTAGCAAATTATAATAGAAACGCAAAGTTTAGTGTACGATTTTGTCTGACCATTGAGTTTCCCCTGGAATGTTGGCATAACCACAGAAAATATTTTTCGTTTTTCTTAGATATTTTGCGCAGGTGCGGGATGATCCACTCATCATGACTCATGGTTGATCCACTCGCCAAATCTGCCATTTGAATTTGAGTATGGTTATACTGCTGGCTGAAAGATGTGTCGCAATCCTCGAGTACAATTTACTTTTGTCGTGTGATGTTGAATGTGTCTTTAATCTTACATCCAACTGATTTCAATTTTCATGAGGTCTAGTATAACGAGAGCAATTAAATTCATTTTTCGTCTTGTATATAAGATTACGCATATCTTGTAAAAAAAATCACGGTAAACGAGTTTAATGTGTGTGAGAATCGTAGTGTCTCTCAGCAGCCGAACTGCAGGAGTACCGCATTGAGTGGCGTCGGCGGTGCGTATGAACTTATGAAGCGCTGTCCACAGGTGCCACACTACGAGCAGAAAATAACTTGGGGCGAGTATATATTTTCTCTATGTCATAGGGTTATTTACGAGGTTCTCACTTACGCCACCTTGACAAATCATTACAGAACATATTCTTCATGTTAGAGCGTCTATGTGTTTTAGAGCGTTTCGTTTTAGAGCGTCCAATAATACCGTTTAAGGTTTCTGTAAAAGAGAGAGAGAGAGAAGTCACACCATCGCTATGATATGGAATATTTTGTTGAACAATTCATATGGAGTAATGCACTTACAGAGAATATATTCAGATATGTATTTTTTCTATTATGCGTTATTCCAAGATAGTGCCTTCTCGCCCGGCACGTACAAAATTTTGTGTTCTTTTTTGCGAGCATTCGTTGTGTTCGAGTCATATGCTAACTGATCCGATGTCGAGGTAGACAACGTTCGCCTGATGTGCGTGATGTGCAATTATGAATCTATTTCGGTGAAAATGGAAATCGATGTCGTGTAGAAAAAGGCATTATCACCGAATTCATATCTATGCAAGTTGATCGAACACTCGTCGAGGTTTCTGGCAATGTTCGAGAATTATTTATAACCGTATAACGTTGTCAGCCTTATTTCACGTCTACTGATTGATACCTTTTTCAATAAACGTTTCGCATGACCTAGGCCTGCTCCCCCACCACTGTAATTTTACAATTTAAAATAAATATCTACTAATTTTGAAAAGGGTCGAACGAAAGATTACCTCGCGCCTTCGTTGTTCGCTTACTCAAACGTCATTAGTAGAGGCCAGAGGGAAGTTTCGCCCCTATTTGACTAGAGAGTTTCTGACGGAGTTCATCCTAAACGTACTCTCCAGCAGAGTGATTGATCTATCCGTTCTATCGCATAAATCTTATTGCAGCGCCTGAGATCTGGAAACATCATTACTTTTAGAGCTACCTTTCATATTGATCGCCAATGGAGAAGCCTGGCTTGGGAGTCTCAGAGTTAAATGTGTCGGATTCATGAAACAAACAAACCCCCGTAATCTTGTCTGAATAGAAGAGATAATAGACGCAATGTAGTGCAGCTGAGTCACAAAGTCGACACTAAAGGTGTACCGCACCAACAGCGCCGCATGACTCTGCAGCACCCAATGCCTGGCGGCATTTTCTTTTTATCGCGGTCTAATCTGCGTTTGGAACAGAATTCAGCTAACACGCCGTACGTTTCTCGAAAATTGATTAGTTAAATTTGCTATGAGTCTTGAAGCTACTAAAATTTATGAATAGTGTATATTTTTAAGTTTATTTATCACTTTTGAACGATGTTTTGTGTTAATTGCTTATCTTGAAAGATTGCTTTTAGTTTTCTACCATTAAAAAAAGTAATTAAATAATAATAATTTGAATTATTTTAAAAATATTCCTGATCTAATTATCATTTATAGATTAGATGTACCATATTATTGACAAATTGTGGCGGTATTGACGCTGTGTCGGCATGTGTAAGATCGAGTGCCAGCATATTATGGGATGCTGTTGCTCAGCGTCGCCTGACAGCTGTGTGAGTGAGCATGTGAGCTCCTTTGTCTCTCTCTCTCTCCTCTCTCTTCCTGTCTGTCTGTCTGTTGTCGTCCAGCTGGTCATTTTTTTTTTGTTTTCTTGTGCGTACGTACTTCGCTTATGGATCGAGTATACACACATACATGTTTCGCAGTAAATTTAACATTTATTTTTCTTATCTTCTCAATTGAATGAATTTCACGTCTGTATCTCGCATTATCTATGCTGAAATTGCAAGTCTCTCTGCCTGGCTGTCACCATCTATCTTCTCGACTTGGCAAAGACATTTTTTTGTTATATAATTAGCTCCTTACTGGATGTCATTGGCGTCCCATTTTACGGATGAAGATTATTTTTCTCGCATAAATTTCATTCGTTCGTTTGCTCAACTTTTATATTCTACATTAGTCACAGGTTGCGATTCACAATGACTATCAACTTCTGAACAAGATATTTTGAGGGAAAATTTTCAGGTAGTCTAATTTTTGTTTGAGATATTACAAGCTGATTGAGATATTACGAGCTGATTGAGAGGATTAGTTTTCAATGTGAATTGCCATAAGTCGTTTGGTGATGAAGCCAAATACTGAAATATGCTAAGAAAAACATTGCGCTGTAGAAAAAGTCCGCGACCATGCAGTAGGTCATGGTTGAACCATGTAGTAGGTGACCTACCGGGAGTTATACTACCTTAATAAATGTACCAACTTGTACGACTAATTGCCAGTGATTGGTTCCATTTTCAGGACTCAACGAAGTGGTTTAAATCAACAGTATTGTATCAGCATCGGAGGGGGTTATAAACCCGCTTGAAGATGTAAAAATTCTGGTCGAAATCTGTTAGGTAGCCGGGTATTAAGATTCGACGACAGGCCACATAGTTATTCAAAGCTCACACCACTAGATCGTGGTGTGTCCTTTTATACAGTAGGCACCTCGTGTCGTACTCGGCGCGCCCGATCATCACAATAAACAACTTAGGAGTTGAAAAACTCGAGGCAGGGTTTCATTTGAAGGGTTTCTTCGCTAAACCAAGTGGATAAGATCAACAAGATCGCAGCTGCAAGCTGAAGGTTTGGAAACGGCGAACAGTTGTAAAAATTACAGTCGAAATCGTGGTTAAGATTCAGCGGCAGGCCAACACGGCCAAATGAGAGCTGGCACTACCATATTATCACGAACTCTGGTTAGGAGCACTGAGTTTGTCTGCGCTGCCGAGGAGTACCGTCAGAGGCATGGTTGAACTATCTACAGTTCAACCATGCGTCAGAACAGAGGGTTGAACGAAACAATTTGAACTAAGCTTCACATGGGAAGCAAATTTTTGACATTGTACGAAAAT